GTCTTAGTAATACGAAACTTAACTATAGCACTGTGCACTCAAATCTTCTGAGAAAGAGACATTTTTGCATATGGACTATGAAGTCTGTAGATTAGCTTGCAGGGTGATGCAAGGACTTCCCTTTCTCTGAGGGAGTTTATTTTTGAATCCTGATAATATTAAATTCATCCCTTCTAGGGATAACATTTATCTCAACCCCATAAAAATAATCCTGAATTTCTTGCCTTTGGGAAAGAACAAATGGCGATGTCTGGCATATATATTCAAGAGTTTCTAAGAAAAGATTCACCCAGGTGCACGTTTGTCTACAAATTAGTCACGTTTTGTGGGTTGCAGTGAGCGAGATTATCTGGATCACTTACATGCGCTAGTCTGGCCATGGACCTAAGGACCCAATTATGCACACACTTACTCACACATGTGAAGTTACTCATGTAAATAAGTTCTATTGAAGTCACAGGAACTGTGTGAAGTGCGAGTAAAGTTACTCAAGTGTAAGTTTGTCCAGGAACAGACCCTAAAGATTTTATAAGCAAGTTGATCTTCAACAAACTTGCTGCTCCTGGACATAACAACAGTAATCAAGAGTCCTTTTTCTTAAACTAGCTGGGAATTCCTTTCAGAAGGAGTCTTTGCTATAGTTTAAACTACTGCAACATGCCCTATCTGAAAGCTGCAGCCTGTTCATCATTCAGTAGTTCACCTCCAAAATGGGGCCAACTATAAACAGCATATTGGGATTTCCTGTGAAGTGGGAGGATCCGAGAGCTTGGGTTCCAGCCCAAGCCCGCAAGTCTACACAGCAATGAAACAGCCCTGTAGCCCAAGCCCTGCGAGCCAGAGTTGATTGGCATAGGCCAGCTATGAGATTTTCTTTGATGTGTAGACATTAGAAATGCATACGTAATGTGCTTATTACAGGATAAGCTCTTCAATCACCGAGAAAAATGGCTTCCCTTTCAAATTTTAACAACCACATGCAATAGTGCTAGATCTCACGATATGCTAGAGTTAATTATCGATAACAGATTATTTTGACAACTCAGTATGTTTCCAAGATTTGAATTTTTAATCTGTACTATTCATTATGTAGCAGCCCAAAAGGCAAACATTGAGACATATCTGTATCAAATGCTAAATTATTAAACAAACTTTCTGTACATTTTTATACGGGAGTTCTATACTGAAATGCAGCATTTTCTAGCTTATATTTACCAAATTTCAAACAAAGTTGCCACTTTTTTATACTGAAACAGATAAAATTGATGCCAAATTATTCTAACTGGCCAACAATATTAAATGCAATTTCATTCGTCATATTAAGTTATCGAAATTATTTTAGTCTTAAAATAATAATTTAAATATATTTTAAGAGTCATTGACAGTGAGGAGTTGAGAATTCCAAGGAAGGAAGAAGAACATACGCAGAAAATTAAAATGTAACTAAAAAAGAGAATGCATATTGACAGTACTGGCCTTTATCTATGCAAGGATTTCTTTAAAAATGTAAGTGGAAGTTTGTTCTTTTATTTTAAACCTTTTAAAGAGCCTCTCAAATATTTTGACTTCTTAACATCAAACTATAATTTATAAGTAGGACACATTTCACTGATTAAATATTCATCAGTGACTACTTTTACGCTGAACTAACGTGTGTACAATGGTACTTGAATGTCAGCTTTAAATACCATAAAGGCCCAAAACCTGTTTGAAAGGCTAAAGGCTAAACACACAACCGGTTAGAAAGAAGGTACCTATCTGCTGTAGCACCTCACTTGCTATATTGCCACTGAGTTTACCTAAACTATATTAAACACAAAGCTATTTAAAAAAAAAAAAAAAAAAAAAAGGGCAACACAATATTCCAGCAAAGAGTTCTGAATTGCTGGATCAGGTGTAAGTGGAGTGTTTATACAGGTGTACTTTTGCAGTTTTTTATTACTTTGAAAATGTGTACAACCTCAAAAACTACAGAAATCACTGGGAACTACTGCAATAAAGTGATATTTTATCGTATCTTGCTGTAACACAAATTAGCAAACAGAAGCACGTATTTGACCTCTTGGGAACAGCTCATGCTGATCTATCAAGAAACATTCACACTACAAAGGTAGAAATATTTCTAGTAGGTGATACATGCATTTATAATCTTAGACTAATTTACTGGTTACTTTATCATAAATAAATGACTGGTTATTTCTCCTTGCTCTGATTCATGGCTAGAATCAATTAACTGGATTTTCTAAAAGAGAACATTACTACTTGATTCAATATCTTTCCCTTTGATACTGCAGTTATTCCTTCCTTCCCCAACTGAATTCCTTCCTTCCCCAACTGAATAGACAAGTACACATTTCTTCTACCAGCTACAAGTGATGTGCATCTGATCAACTGAGCCATACTGAAATAAATACCCTTCAATTTCTACTAACTTCACTAAAAATAAATACAACGATCTTAAGAAAAATAGGCCTGTTTGGTTCTCATGAACCTTCACAAGCACAAAATATTATCAGGATAAAAGTGTAAAGCATGACTCTTAAGAATTACAGGTATCTGAAAATGTGCAACTGCAGAACTGTTGTAATTATTTTCAAGAATAAATACAACATAGATAGCTATCTCAGATTAATTTTGAGCACAGAAACTGTTTATAACACTGAAATTAAGAAAACAAGATACTTTAAAGTAGCATTACATTTACCATGTAGCGCTCTCTAAGATTTTAAGAAAGGACAAATGTTGTCTTAGCACTCCACGAAATACACAGATGGCTAAGTGGGAACAGAAAATTATTCAGCAGTGAAGAAAAACTTGTTTTATCATATACTAGTCTATAAAAATTCAAACTCTGGACTGGCCACCTCTAAACTTTGGTGCCTTGCATAATCCTCAATGAAAAAGTTACATTGGTCACCAATGTCTGTGCGGCCGGTGTTATTTATCTCTTCCTAAACACCATCTCATCTTTGTCACTGCATTTCTTTCTCTTTTCTTCTTTAGTTGTCTTTTTAAATTGACACTTTTCCCATTCTCTTTTAAATCCCTTCCCAATCGCTCCCCTACGCCTTTTTTCTCTTCAAAGTCTGCACTGTAGTTATATACTGATGATTTATGGAAGGAAGTGCTGCAGAGGAAAACTAACCAGGATTCTAGCCAGCTTCCCTCTGCAAACCACAAATGTGCTTGATGCAGAGGAAAACTGATTCTCTGATTAAAAAAAAATTCTGCTTCCCTCTTCATCAAGCATTTCATATGAGTCAGCAGCAAGAGGTAATCTAGGATCACAAGGTCCTTCTGAATAGATGGCAAAGTGATTTTGAAAGCATTGCAGGGGCATTTCTGCATATGTGACTTGCTAGTCATAAGCTCTTTTGGGGTGGGGCTGAAGACATATAAAAAACAGCGGCCATTTTAAGACCACTTTTAAAAATATCTACCTTAAACCAGCTCCCAAATTGCTGTGGTACCAGTAACACTCAGCATGCTTCAGTTTGGGACCTGACTAAATATTTCAGACAAATGTACACTGGCTCAGCCTGCTAAGGAAAAAGGCATGTTCCTCCATTCAGGAAAGTCAAATGGGAAGAAAAAAACAAAACTGAAAAGTTTGTGGGTACTTTAAGGAAATAATTAGAAGATATAGGTTATCTTCAAGTATATCTGCACATGGGGAAGATGCAAGGGATACATTTGCAAAGTAGTTTGTAAGGATTAAGAAGTTTGTCCTCGATTGAGATTAATAAGAGTCATATGGTTAAATTCTTGAAAAATTTATACATAAATGTTATCTTTTATTGGTTTCATTAAAACTACCCCATATAAAAGATGTCCCCAGACCAACGCACCAACATATTTCAATTCGTATTATATGGCTATAGAAATGTGCATGTTGTCTGCTGTGAAAATTCTGGCAATAAAGACAGTGGCTTTGTAAATTAAACAAATTCAGATTTTAAATTATTTTAATATTTCTTCCAGCCTTTAATTAGTACCTCCTGTCAGTGTAATCATACCAGATTAGGTTAGATTCAGTGGCCTCACTAAGCCATAGTCAGACAGAAAAAAGTGCCAGAGTAAAAGAATTTGCATTTGAAGCCAGCAGTTTCACTTTAAAATTTGAATTGCTCAATTGTGTCTTGGCCCTAGTACAGTATTCGTAGGGCCCTACCAAATTCACAGTCCATTTTGATCAATTTCACAGCCAAAAGGTTTTTAAATTGGTCAATTTCAAGTTTTCAGATGTTTACCTGTTCCTAGCTGTTAGGAACATGTGTGTTAGGCCGGGCTGGAAAGGGACAAGACTTCCTCTTCCCCTGCATGGCCCCTGCGGGGAGATCAGACCCAACTCCTGGTATCTCTCTCAGAGGCAGGAAACTCCGCAGCTGTGCTGCCTTAATTGCTGGCTGATTTCCCCGCCTCAAGCAGCCCTGCAGGGGAAGAGGATGTCCTGTCCCTCTCCAGTCCAGCCTGGATTAGCAGCTAGCAGGCCCTGGCTGGGGTGCTCCCAGCAGCACAGAGATCAGACCCACCTCCGGAACCTCCTACGACTGCAGGAAACTCCATGACTGCTACCTTCAGAGCCCAGCCCTCCGGAACTCCTACGACTGCAGGAAGCTCCGTGGCTGCTGCCTTCAGAGCCCAGCTTTGAAGACAGAGCAGCCACAGAGCTTCCAGCAGCTGGGGGAGGAACCCGGAAGAGGGTCTCATCTCCCGCGCATGCCCGTTTTCAGGGGAAGAGGAAGTTCTGTCCCATCCCATCCCAGCTGATTAGCAGCTGGAGCCCAGTGAATGGGAGGAGCCCACAGCTGGGGTACCCCCAGCCCTGCCCCTTCCCTCCAATAGCCACATTTCACAGGGGAGGTCTGATTTCACGGTCCATGGTGGATTTTCATGGCCGTTAATTTAGCAGGGTCCTAAGTATTAGATATCATAAGTGTTAGAAAACAGTTCTTTATAATATCAGAGGAGGTAAAGAGATAAATATATTATAAATTTACCTGCCAAGTTACTGCACCCAAAACTGCAGTTGCAAGGAGACTGAAAAATACTAGCTGCTCTGAAATTAAACAAAAATGACGCATTCCTTTAGAAGCCATGACTCGGTCAAGGCTATTATTCTCTGTCCTGTGGGTATAATAGACTTTGTGGCAGTCATTTAATTTTGTATGAAACCCCCAAAGAGTTATAAGAAAAATAATGTGGCAGATCATCCAGAAAATTCCAAAAATGGAAAAACCAGGTATAACAAAATACCAGAGACCCAAGTCACCTAATTTAAATGCTGCTAGAATGAAAAAGATAAGTTCAATTACTCCAACAGAGATGACTGAAAGCCTTCTGCAAATTCTACCACGGTACAAGTAGGGCTTCCATCGTTCAGTAACTGAAAGTCCGCTGAAATAGACATCAAGAAGAGGGTCTGAAATCAGGCAACTAAAGAAACAGCCCAAGGCAAATGGGTTTGTGGGAATGTTCAGGGAAGGAAAAAACAATAAAGATGCCAGAGCTCCAAAAATTGCCAAATTTGGAATTGCCAAGAAAGACTTCATCCGCAAATCAATAATCAGCATGGCCAAAGCCACAAGCAACAAGATGATACTTATGGATTTTTCAACCAGCATAGTTGTGCTGGCAATTGCAAATCCAACCAGCTCCAGAAATTCAACTGTTGTCAGCAGAGTTGGTCGATGATGGACACATCCGCAAATCCTCTCCACCAAAGCACACAATATCCTTATAACTATGGAGGCAAGGAGCAAGTATTTGGTTGTTTCTTCTTTCACGTCATTTTTAAAAGAGGAATTATCAAGAAAACAGAGGAGGCCAAGCAAGAATCCAAACCAAAGATTGGAGAGACTCAAACTTGCTGCTTCCATTGAAAAATAATAATAAAGTATGCTGGCAATTCCAAGAACAAAAAGTCCCAGGATAAATATTACCAGTATTAGTGCATCTGCAGTCTTCTCCCACCTGACATAAAGGCCCAGACATATAGCAACCAATATGCTGATCCTGGCTAAATAGCCAAGGTATCGGACCGATGAATGCATGTTCACTTCTCTATTTGCTTCTTCCAGCCTTGTCATTGCTGCATAGAGACAGTGACTAACACAGTAACGCAGTGATCTACACATGTAAATATGCAATTAGGGGATTTTACCCACTCTACAGAAAGTAACTGTTTGGCTTTCATCCAAGAAATGCAGTGCAGCAATAACCTCCTGCAATGTCATTTCATCAGTAACATTCCTGGATTATAGAAGTCCTGAAAGAAAAATGAATAGAAATGTCAGTGCTAAATTACAAACTTTAAACTTATTTACTAACATATTAGATACTCTCCTGGTCCCAAAGAGTTTACAATCTAAATTAAAAACATACAATAAATATCAACTATATACAATGTGTAAGGTTTTTTTAAGTATATGTTCTATAATTAGTGGATCATTGAAAGTTATTCAAAACCAATATGAACTGAAATTCTCATCAGTCTCATCTCATAAAAACTACTCTGTAATTTGAATAAATTAATGAGGAATATAATGTTAGCTAATCAAACCTTAATTGACAATACAATCTTTCCATGAGTCACCAACACATTTCAGAATATTCCTGTGATATTTCTGTTAAATTCTAACATCTGTTAATGGACAGCTTCTTAATCTTCTTATTCCAGTAAAATATTAAAAATAAAATTTTATTAAACTTGCTAAATCCATAACCCAGATCTGTTGTTTCCAATATGATCACTTCACATTATTTCAGGTAACAAAACTAAATTCCTACTTTTTTATTAAATATTTTTAGTAACCTTTTCAATAATTTATTTATACGGGTACTTAATAGGTTTTCTTGATTACTGAAGTATCTGGACACTTCACAAACATTAGTAAGTTTATCCCCACAACACACTGTGAGACAGGGAAGTATCATTATCCCCATTTCACAGATGGAGAATTGAGGCACAGTGAAATTAACTGACTTCCTCAATGTCACAGCCAGGAACATACTCCAGACTCCTGAGCACAAGCATGAGCCCAAGCCCAGGGCCTTAATCACAAAACCATCCTTTTAACCCCTAAATTCTCTGCGAAAAGACCAATAACCATCAAATGTCTTTCAAACTGACTGAGTTCACAAAAATCAAAGTTCTACTTATCTGCCACTATGAAATGAAAAATTTCCCCAGAATAAAGATTGCTATATTTAGAATCTGCTAACTGTTTCACCACTTTGTAAACCATTGCATTATTGACCCCATGTCCAATTTAATTGGTCAAATCTTGTTGGGGAATGGGAATATATTTTAATGAGACATTTTGTGAGGGAGAAACTTGTAAATATTTTTGGAATATACTGATTCTCAAAACTGATCAATGATCCAGGTACTCTGGACATCCTATATTTAGCAGAGACCACTACTATTCTACAGTGAAAATTTCTTCCTGACCCCGAGTGACGATCTACTTGTTGCTTGAAACAAGAGGATTGGTGTAACATTTTAAATTTTGAATCCTAGCTAGTTTAGGTAATATTATTACCTACAGTAAATATCAATTATATTTTAATATAACTATTGAAATACAGCTATTTGTTTCAATATCTATTAATTTAATCATATTTTGAGTAAAAATATATTTCTTTGTATTTTAAAACTGTCTTATTTTTACTGCATTTATTTGTATTAAAAGGATATTATGGAGGTTCCATAGTTAAAGCTGAATTGTTGAGGCTGAATCCAGGCTATGTATGAAAATATGTATTCTTTCTAAATTTACCACACTTACTCTGTGAGAATGACAGGTTTCAGAGGAACAGCCGTGTTAGTCTGTATTCGCAAAAAGAAAAGGAGTACTTGTGGCACCTTAGAGACTAACCAATTTATTTGAGCATGAGCTTTCGTGAGCCACAGCTCACTTCATCATTCTTTCTGTGAGAATGAATTTTCTGAGAACTTACAAGTAAATTGATTAGTTTGTGAGTTATAATTATTTTTATTGTACTGTCAAGAACCAGAGTGCCACTGTGTTAGTCACTGTAAAATAAGTATCAGACAAGAGACAATGGGTGGATACAGACGGACCAGGGAGCACAAAAACACAATACTGATCAGTGTGACAGCCAGTGGTCTCAGTGTAACAGATGCCTAACAGTGGTCATGTTTGGTTTTTATAGGCATCATGGCAAAGGAGATTACTATTAAAAACTAGGTCCTTTCAGAAAGCTAACATCTGTCAGTCCTTTGTTGCAAATGATCTTAATAGAACAGACTCTTCCAACTTCCCATACTGTTAAAACGCACAGAAATCTTGAATATAGGCTGCATGTGAAGAAATTATGGCTAATTAATTTATGTCTAATTAAGTATAGTAGGTGAGTGCTGCACTCAAGAAATTCCAGAACACAAGTATTGGCACTGCTACCCAAAACATCATGAGAAGTGTCCCAGAATGTTCTGGCAGGACTCAAGCACTGAATTGTTATGACTATGTAAGTTACAGGCAGGATCAGCTCAACAGATAGGTTAACTCTCATGTAGGACTTCAGAGACATCAGCAGTAATTAAACCAATCTGCACCCTTCCTCTATAGCTAATTAGCAACAATTCAAGAGTTTGTAATGAGTTAGTCATAGGGGAGAGACTGGACATGTGCCAAGAGTTCTCACTGGTATATGACTGGCCCAATTGCCACTACTCTTTAAAGGTTCCATAGCTGCATGGTAGCTTGGGCATCAGGACTTGAATGGCTCCCCTGAACAATGACGGAGCATTACTGGAAGAAATAAGGCAGCAACATAAGAGGGAGCCCTTAAAGTGCAGAGATATCAGGACTCAGGAACTGGGTTTTCCTGCAGCACCAGTCTCTGTAACATAACCCTAAAGTCAACTGCAAATTGAAGGGCATATTCACCTGCATACTTTGGCTGTTTTTGCGATGTAAAACCACTATAAACACAGTTTAACTAGCAAGTGCACTCTGGCTATTTTGGTGTACTGATGATGAATTAGGCCTTAAAAGATCAATCATTTTTTAAAATGTTAATGCTGCATATTTTTAAATCATTGGCAATATCAAAGCAGCATGCCCAATAATGAAAGTAATGACATGAATGGAACATAGGGGGAATGTGTCTTTAAATCAGTTTAATCTAAACTGGGCTAACCAAACCCTACAATGCCCTATTTAATAATATTGTCTCACCATAGCATGGAGGGATGGCCAGATGACTTCTCAAGGTTCCTTCTAGCCCTACATTTCTATGGCTTTATCATACGGTTTTGCTCGATGCCTTACAAAGTACAGTTAATGCAGTGTTGTAGCTTTGTCGGTCACAAAATATTAGAAAGACAGGGTAGGTAAGGTAACATCTTTTACTGGACCAACTTCTGTTGGTGAGAGAGAAGCTTTTGAGCTACACAGGGACCCCCAGACTTGAAGAGCAGCTCTGTGTAGCTCAAAAACTTGTCTCTCTCACCAACAGAAGTTGGTCCAATAAAAGATATTATCTCACCCACCTGTTCTCTCTAAGGTACAGTTAAGGTTGTTTGGATATCTTAACTATTTATTTCAATAGCTTAACATGACTGGATTTCTATTAAATGTAACCTTAACTCTGAATTTCCTGGATTTGTAGTGCTTGATTTAGGGATAATTACAAAATCCTTGTAAATTTTTACCCTTAATTTATTGGGATGGTGGTCCTCTTGACCTTTTTTTAAATTTCTGCTATGTATTTTAAGATGAAGTGACCCAAAGTAAGATACCATATTCCAGGTGAGGAAGTACCAGTGATGTAGATGATATTATAGTATTGTCTGGACTATTTTCTATCTCTTTCTTAATACAACCTATTATCATTCACTTGTTGGGCAGCTCACTGAGCTTTTTACCTTAACTCCTATATCTTTCTTCTCTGATAGGTTATCACTAGTTCAAATCCCATCAATGTACAGGAGCAGTTTAAATGTTCCCTGCCAATGTGCACTACCTATATCTGACTACACTGAATTTCATCTCCCATGTTATTTGTTAAGTCCTTCTGGAGTTCCTCACTAGCCTTACAATTAAGGGGCTGATCCTGAAGACATTTATGGAGCCAAGTACAACATACTCCCATTAATCTGAAAACCTATTACCCAAACCTCCACATTATCCAAATCCATTCCTTGTCCCGCAGCACAAGAAACAAGCCCTCTGCAGCATGCATCTCATACTGGGGGACAAGGAAGGGCTCTGGATAACAACTTTGGATAATAAAGTAGAGACCTCCAGCCAGGACTGCAAGAAGAAGGAGGAAGAGAAGTCCCAGACTTAGGGGAGGCCACCCTAATGCTGAATGGCTCCTGTAGCAGTGCAGGGAGTCCTCTACATACCTGCTGTCATGGGAGTGAGTGAACGGGGCCATAAAAACAGAGCTGCAGAAGTCTCTCTGCACAGCTGCAGGTCTGGGGTCACCCCCTCCCTGCAAGAACAAGGTACAGGGAAGGCTCTGGTCCTGGTGGGGCAGAGCAGAGTCCTGGTGGGAGGTCACTGGCCCTGTGGCAGCACAGGGAGCTGACTGCAGCCCCACTGTAAAGGGAGTGAGAGAGTGGGGCCATGGCAAGAAGGCTGCAGAGACCTCCCTGCACTGCTGCAGAGCTGGTGACTCCTGATCTCTGCAGGTACAAAGGGCCCTGGTGGGGCAGAGCCGAGACCCCCAGCCAGAATTGCAAGAAGTATGAGCTCTTGGTTGTGGGTGGAGGCCCTCTGCTGCCGAATTGTTCCTGCCCTCTCAATTATCCAGACTCCCAATTATCTGAATAAAAGCCATATCCCTCATGCTATTTGGATAATCAAGAGTATACTGTAGTCCCACTGAATTCAAAAGAACTATTAATGTGTCTAAATCAGGGTGTTAGATAGTTAGCAGATTTAGCCCCCTCACTATTGCCTCCCCTCCAATCAGATTATTAATAAAATGTACTGCCCAGTCAGAACACTGATCCCCAGTACAAATGGATGTTACTTTCTTTCTATCCAATGTTATTAATGCCATTTATTTAATTAGGTAGGTTAAAAGTAGCAGAGGGAAAGGAAAAGAGCAGCTTTATCATTTCTCTGGAAGGGAAAGGAAAAGAGCAGCATTATCATTATTAAAAGGACATGGTCAAGTTAAATATACTATGTATTTTAATATTCCTTATCTGTGTTAACACTTCAGGTTATTTATTTATTTAATTAGGTAGGTTAAAAGTAGCAGAGGGAAAGGAAAAGAGCAGCATTATCATTTCTCTGGAAGGGAAAGGAAAAGAGCAGCATTATCATTATTAAAAGGACATGGTCAAGTTAAATATACTATGTATTTTAATATTCCTTATATGTGTTAACACTTCAGGTTATTAAAACTGGAAGAGTTTAAAAATCTCATTTACCCATTAATATTTATACTGTTGGTTATTTTTTGTATTTCGCTCTGTTTCGACTGTGAAACTAGGCTAAACAATATAACTTAATTATTTACATAGTACTCTCAATGTATCCAGTTCTCATCACCTGTGAACTATTGCAATGGCTGAGCTGGAAACACAGGCAGTTCATATTTAAATCCAAAGAAAACAGAATATTTGCATTCATTTTTTAATGAAAACATTTCTGTTACAGTCATCAGGTTTTGCGAGCTGGGCCAAGAGTGAGGCTGCAGCTCTGGGGAGTGGGGGTAAGGGGCCTGAGGCTTGGTCGCAGCTGGGGGTGGGACCTGGAATGGAGCCAGGGCCAGGGGCCAAGGCTGAGGGCGGGGCCAGGTGCAGAGCCATGGCTGGACTGTAGTCTGGGGCTGTGGCTGGGCGCGGTGCCAGAGCTGGGAGCAGAGTGGATCTGAGTGGCACTCCCTCCCAACCCCCTGTGGGGGATGGCCTGGGTCCCGGTGCACCCACCTGCAAATGTTCTTCCGGCCCTCTTAGGGGAGCGCGCCTTACAGTTTGGGGACTTCTATATATAGACAAGGTCTAAGTCAGAAGTTGAAGAGATTTAACTAAAATTGGTTTCAAAACCAAATTAGGTCTTATCTAGGCGAGGCTTTTAAGGTGTCTTGTTGGAAAGTTTGACCTACGCTTCTTACTAGGTTTAACACAACCAGTTTAGCACACGCTAAATCAAGTATGCATTGTCTACACCAGACTTCTAAAATGTGTTAGTTAGAATACATACTAACGACCAATGCTCAGTTTTTGCCAGGGATTAGCCCCAGCCCTTCTAGGCTTGGCAGTCCATAGCCCTGGCACTCTGGGCTCACTACATCAGTTATGGATGTAAAACAATTGCTTGAGCCCTGGCACCTTTCAACAGAAATTAAACACTGCTAACAACATACCTATAAGACCTACACTATACAAAGCTTTAGTTAATCTGGTAAATACTCCTGTTCGAATACTCTTCTATCGATTTACAAATGAAAGTTAAACCAACATAATCTAGGTTTAAATAAAATTAAGAGTCTGCTCAGGATCTTGCACGGATTTAAAAGCACACCTTTAAACTGGTGTGTTGTGTGTTGACTAGATTTTAGTCAGACAACACAGATGAATCAAAGGCTTGTTACAAGGATGTCTGAACAATACAGTATATTGAAGAGCAACAGGGTGCGAGCATATCCTTCCTGATATCCCTGAATAGCCACCAGGAGAATCTGCATCGTAATGACCTACTCTCTTCAGGGAGGGAGACAGGAACCTTAGAAGCCAGGGTTAAGTGATTTACAACGGCTTGCCATTGTGAAGTGTCTCAGTTGTCAGCGGGGTTGGTTTTTTAGCTTGGGCTTCACATGAGGCAGACAAGCCAAAGGGATCGTCTGGCGCTAAGGTGCCCCGGCACCTTCTGCCGTCTGAGAACGGACACCCCTGCGCAGGCAGCTCTGTGGCGGCGGCGGCTGCTGCTGAGGCGAACGTGGTGCTCCGAGGCTCGCTCCCGCGCTGCGTTAACACGGTGACAGAAGCAACGTACAACCGAAAGGAAAACACGTCAGACAGGCACAGGCCTCGCCTACCCTGGAAACAAACTTCCCCTCCAGTTTCCCGCCGTCGCTCGCCCAGGCTCAGCTCCATGGGCGAGAGCCCCCCAGCAAGGCGCCCACGGCTGCTGGCGTTGTAGCTACTGTGCCACCCAGCCCCGCTCTGCACAGGGGGACCCAGTAACCCCGCGCCCCGGCCTCTCCCTAGCCCCGCCCACGCTCCTGTCCACACGCACCCCGGCCTCCCTCTCGCCGGCTCCGCACCACCCGGTCCCGCAACGGGAGCCCCGCGGAGCGGCTTAGCTCCCCCTCGCCTGGACTCACCCTGCGCCGACTCCTCGGGAAGTTCTCCACCCCCACAAGAACCGCAGCGCCGCCGCCATGTTAGCACCTCCCAGACTACGGGCAGAGCGAGGGTTCAAACAGCGCAGTACGGCACGGGCTAGCGCCCGAGCAACAACTGGCAGGCGCGCGCGCGGGCGGCCCGAGGCGAGGAGGATGGCCCCGGGGCCGTTTCTCCGTGGGAGGGCGCCCCGTCCCCGAAACAGCGGTGAGAGAGGCTGGGGCCTGGTGGGGTACCCCGCAGTCGGGCACCCCGATCGGAGCAGCAGCCTCCCCGCCGCCTCACCGCCCGCTCATTAGGACAAGATTGGAAGGGGGGCGGCACAGGAGTGTGAGGGAGCGAGAAATCCCATCTCCCTCGCGCCTCGGGGCCAAGCCGGGACCCAGCACGCGGGCTGACGGCGCGAGCACTGCTCCCCTCCCGCCACAGTGCCGCCACCTCCCGGCCTGGGGGGTTCGCGAGGTCAAACTGCTCCTGCAGCCCCGACTCACTGCTATACAGTATAAATCTGCCACCTCTTTCTCTTTCAGGGAGCTTGCTACAGTCCGGCTAAGCACAGGGCCCAGTCCCCCTTTACTCTGCCCACTGACGCCTGGAGGCAAGTGCTGCCCTTCCTTCAAAGAGTAGAATGACATTTATTGGAAAGCTGCATAACAGTATACTACCTGAAGAGATGGATGTAGCTCGAAAGCTTCTCTCGCACCCGCAGAGGTTGGTCCAGTAAAACCTATTACCTCACCCTATTGTCTCTGTCATACCCTGGGACCAATACTGCATACTGTAACTACCCCTATCCGTCTTGGCTCAGCAGTGGGATTCTGAGGGTGCAGGGACTGTTTTAGCTCATGGATGTATTTATTCCCCAAGGTTTAAAACATCACTGTCATGCTAATATTATGCAAGCAGCTGCCCCATTCAGCATCACCATGCAATGCAACTTGTGTATTCAAAGCATACATACAGAGGGGGGTATTCAACATGGAAATGAATTCTTTTAATAGTGATAAGGGTTGTTAGAAAACTGGGCCTTTTCGTATAATATAGCTGTAATTTAAGAGTTTTTATAAAATTTCATAACATCAGGGTGATGCTACAACCTGGATACAACTTCAAATAGAGAAAATGTGCTCTAGTCTAAATCAGTCTGCTGTCTGTGAGCATTACAGAAATAAATTTGCTTTCTAAAATCGAGAAAAAAAAAACTAAGTACAAGATGCAAATTAGAAATGCCCTATGCTGACACAAACATTCAAGCAATAAGCACCCAATACTTTAAATTCTCTATAAGGAAAGCTTTTAATGTATTCCTGCACATAAAATCTGAAGTATATTAATAAAATGTAGCAAAAGTTGTTTGGTCTGAAGCTTATTTGGGCTGGATATCACTAGTTACAAAACAGTATATCAAGTTTTGAGCAAAGGAATATTGTTTTAAAAGTTCTGTATAGCTTATACAACCATGATTTCTCAATTCCATAAGGAATTTATGCAGTGGAGAGAAAGTGCATGGACCTTTAATATTTGGAGAGTGTGGGCAATAACTACAGCCTTTGAACAGAAAGCTGGTGTTTGAGTTTGTATTGAAAAAGGTGACTCAACAGTGTAGCAGAAAGGGAATGTGTAGCAGAAAGACTAGACTATGGTAACCTTTCCCACTATTAGTTAAAACTGGCAGAGTAGTTAAAAGATAGTTCTCTATTGAGAGAAGTCTCAAGAGAAAGGAACTCCCTATCCCTATTTTTGGCTCAGCTCCAGGAATACCCTTGAAATTTTTGGAGAAGACAGAAACTGGTTACTGCGCAAGTGACTGAAATCTCTTTAAAAATTAATAGTTCTTCAAGGAACCCGTCTCTTGCAACCTCTCCCTCTGGTATGTTAGTCTGCTAGTGTATCATTCACAAGTAAAACAAACATCAACAGAAGAAAGAAAAAAGAAAAGGAGTAAAATTGACCAGACTATTTACTTTGGAGTGATTTGAGCTCCAAAACTTAAAACAAGTTGTTTACTAGGCCCCTATAATAAAGAGCTATTCTGCTGATTCATGCAGATAACACCCAGGAGGGCTGTTTAAAGTTGGAACTGGAGATTTATTTTAAAAGGTTTAAGCCCCTCTTTCAAGTAGGGAGAAAAGTATGGAAAGTTTTTTGCAGGGAGCAACACTAAAAGCAGCCAAAGAACATTTGCTGCTCTTTATCAGTGAAGGAAAACCCAGTTACAGGTTAGCAGGGTGGGAACAGCATTTCCTTTCATATGGATTCTTAAATGACATCACTAGAAGTTGGTTTGTACTTCAGCTATGTATTATGCTTGGACAAGGCAGTATGAGCAGCTCTCATAATTTTGCCTTCTAAACTTCAAAAAACGCCAACAATGTATCCAGTGCTTACAGTTTATTTCCTTTCAGTGGGTTATGGGAGCCTATTTCCAAGTGGGTATGAGAAAGGAGATGTACACTCAAAACATTTTCTATGCACCTTTTAGCTTGAGAATTGCTAAAATTCCACAGAAAAATACACTCTTAAGTGGAGTCCATTGTATTAACTGAGACAAGACTCGCTACATTTTTCCTGAAATGGTTTTGGAATCCTGCATTTTCAATCTTCTGGGTCTACATTCTGCTTTCTTCACTGCCATTCTCTCTCTTCTGCACCATTAGAAAACATCTCAGAAAGTGCCTCTGTGATTGATAATGGCTGAGAGGAAACACCTATTTTAGGTGCTGCAAGGTTGTGCTCTGTAAAAGGGGCAGAGTGGTGGAGGAAAGCCCAATGTGTTCCGATCTACTGTGAGGAAGAGATTGGAAGGGAGAAACCAAAGGGAGGCATGTAGCAGACAGGAAAGAAGTGAGTTATGTTTGTTTCTGTTAACTATGAAGCAAAATTATAAAAAAAAAAAAATAGAAGTACCAAATTTTGCATTAGTTACTATTTCTTACTTTATAAAATGTAAACTCAATACTCCTCTTCAAAGTGTTTTATAAGTAATCATAATTTTATGTGGTAATGTATACTAATGACAATATAAATAGCTTGCAAGAAAAGACAACAGTTCCACTGAAACAAAACACTTTACAAAAGGCTTTTATTATTTTTTTTTAATACATGTGCTTTGTTCACAAAAGTAGTGAAATAAAGACAACATAAATGGAAACAAATATTTTGTGGTATGCCTGCTCCCCTCTCCCTGACACCTGGAGTATGGGGATCTTCTTTCACCATATCATGTACAATCATAATTTTGCAGAGTTTCAAAACCTAGCGACATTCTTCTTCAACCTCCAACACTGTATTTCTAGAAGACCATGACATCTCTCTCTTGTCTTGGGAGGCCTTAGTAGCAAAAAGCCACTTTTCCTCACGCCAGCCCAAACCCTCCATTTCTGGAAAACATTTAAGGTATTGAGCTTGGGCAGCAAAAAGAACCACAGCTTCTATAATAATCTGGGGTCCCTGATTGACAACCATAACGTTACCAAGCTGTCAGGTAGGCTGAATTCAAACATTCAATGTTTAAAACTATTTCTGTTGAGTATACCTTGGTCTGAATTCCAAGCCATCCCCATCTGAATGAATGGTAAATGGAGTGTAATTTACATTAACCAGTACAAATACATTTATGCTAGGTGGTAATAAATTTTGTATAGTTTTTTTGTGTTTCTTAAAAGGAGTACCAATTAAAATAGCTCATGCACACTTTGGAGTATAAGCAGAATCAGTAATTTCTGTAAACAACTGAGAATTTATAGCACCAACATTTAGCTTTAACATAACCACTGACTCCAGCAGTGCTCAACTGAGAAGAAGGCAGTCTTGATTCCAAGCATCTTAGTTTAGCAAAAGTGAATTTTTAAGCATTACATGTGAACATCAAGTTGTATTTAACTTAATTCAAAATACATGGTGGATTTCATTTAGATTAGGGGCCTTCTGTTAAATTTTTAATATTCTCTTAATTTACCATGAGTTCTAATTTAACACTTCCATCTAGTTTTAAGATGTTTACATTTTTAAATATAATTCTTGTTTTGTTTATAAACTGTGCCATTCATAGTTAACTACAGCAATCAAGTTTGGATGATAGGGAATTCTTTTAATCTGTGATGTGCAAGATGTACAAAAAGCTTATGTTGAAGAATAAAGCAACTTAATACAGTTCGTGAAATTTTTAGTGTAAGTAGGACCAATTGCCAAGAAGATACAGAATACAAAGAAAAAGCAATCAAGAAGCTGGAAATTGTGAAACTTCAGTGCAAAACTTCCATGGAAGTGTTTTAAAAACAAAACTAAAAATAATAAACACCTAAAAATTCACACTAGAAATGGCAATTGGTAATTTCTGACTGATGAATAAGAGATTAATTTTATATGGCCTAAAGATATTTTTTATCATTTGTGAAACTACATTTATAACACTGGATAAAAATTTTCAAGCCTATTCTAAAGTTAAAGTCTTAAAACCCACACTTCAGAACCTAATTCAAGCTACTTCTAGTTAGGTAGAAGGATTTAAGACTAACTTCAGGTACCCAGGTTTGATATTTTTGGCAATTCTTTTTAAATGGAGAGCAAAAGTATTTTAAAAAACCCACAAAAAATAACCATTACATCAGTACAGAAATTTGTCTGCAGAAGGATGTAGGTTTACTATACACATTTAAACAAAAAAGTTGAGAATGTGTACCGAGCAGATTTTGTCTGTGTCAAATTGCAGAGCAATTCTTAGAAAGTCACGAGAAGAGTGTCCAGCCAAATGCCTTATCTAGAATGGGGCCCAAATCTTGCAGACACTTAAGGATGCGCTTAACTTCACATTTGAGAGAGTGGTCAGTGAGGTTACTCACTTAAATGTATGTACATCCTTAAATATGTGTAGAATTGGGTCCTAGTATTTATAAAATTGGCCTACTGGAGTTACTGTGTGGAAATTCTGAAATTATAAAAGAATACTTATTAGCATTTTTTCCCCACCCATAAGTATTTTGCTCTAAAACTGTGCAAAATATAATTTCAGGAGAATACAGAAAACTATCCAATGTGGGCAATACTGATATGTTAGTGCTACTATAATCATAAAATCGCAAACGCTTTCCAGCTTTGAAGTAAAAAAAGGTATCTAAACCTATCGTACTATAGCATTTGTCAGGGCTTGTCTCTCAAACACACATCTAACTTCTGTTATGCCAGTGAGGTTTTACATGTGTACACAGATGGGAGAGTATGCCCCAATACAGTATTTTGGCATTACCTCAATTAACTGAAATAGAAAGATCAACAAGATCTTTAAGTAAAACCAAATGTGCAAGTATTAAAGTTTCTTCAGCCCAAGCTTAGCCAGAATGAAACCACTTTCTGCAACACAGAACAAACTTTGTTCAATAAAAAAAAAATGGACAAGTTTAACCACCAAACAGCTTACTCCAAACTTATTTGCACATTTACTGTCAAAGTGCAAATTACTTCTCAGAAATCCACCAACTCCAGTGTCATAAACCCAACCGTATTAAGAATTAAAAATATTGAAACAAGACATTTAGCAAAATTAAGTAGAATTCACACTTCACAGCACTGAAGAAAAGAATGGTACCTTTCTGAAAAGTCCTAAAGAAAGTAACAGCAATTTATGCTATGACGTGAGTCATTCTGCATAAAATGTGTATTCTTCACTTTTTGTACAAGAATAAATTTTAAAATTCAAAAGTAGAAAAAAATAGCAAACTCTGTAAACCTTTGCATTTTCTTTATGCAAACCATTTTTTATGTAACAAGCCCATGTTAGTATAGCAAAATTTGTTAAGCAATAAAGAAGTTTGGACTTAACGGGCATTTTAACTGTTACATTAACTTGAAAGTAATATAGGATCTTCTAGCTCATAGAAAGGGACTGAGCTAGCCTGGCTTTCTCCAGAGTCTGAGTCATAAGGGGCATCAGGAAGCTCCATGAAGCTGTAAGCTAGCTGTTCATCTTCAATATCTGATCGGACATAGCAGGAAGTGCTGGAATATTCCTCATCTTCTACACTGTTGAAATCCTGTGGAATATACAGCATCCCTGGGTAGTTCCTACTAACTAAGTCACTTTTAGTTTTCAGGGAGATTTTCCTAAATGCCATTAGGTGCATGTGAGAAAACTTTGAATACTTGAAACGTTTAAAGCCCAGGGATTCTATGGCAATTTTCCAGCTTTTCATCATCATAGCATGGCGATTCTGGTGGGAGGAGTCAGGAGTGATTATAAGCAACAAGCCATTCAGCACCAGAAGTTCATGGGCCTTCTTGCAGCATATCCATCGTTGATAAGGTGATGGAAAGTAAGAAAGGAGAAGTGAGAAAACCACAA